TTACAGGTCACTGTGCACTAAGACAACCAGGCACAGGGACAGTTTCTTCCCCCAGGCTGTCGTTTTGCTGAACACTTGACCAATGATAGTATGACTGGACAATAACCCTCAGTGCAATACCTGTAAACATACCTCATATAGATTATACAGACTTGTACAGGTCTCTAGTTCTTAAGTACTCCATTTTATCCCTATTTATCTCATTTCAATGAACATTCCTTTGTTGTCTGCATTGTTTACTGTCTGTTTATACTGCTTATTCTGCATTGCTTGCACTGTTTGTTGATGTTAATACTGCTATTTTGTTATATTACACAGCCTTATGTTGGTTTACTGTTTTGCACATTGAGAGCTGATGTACCTGAGTCTAATTCCTCATGTGTCCGTCACACCTGGCCAATAAAGCTGATTCTGATTCTGCATGTCCATCCATTCATTTTTCTACCACTTATCCGGGGTCTGATGACAGTAGCAGCAGGTTCAGTAAGGTCGTCCAGACGTCCCTCTCCCTGGCAATGTGTTTCAGCCCCTCTAGAAGGATTTCGAGGCGTTCCCAGGCCAGATGAGATGTATAATCTCTCCAGCATGTTCTGGGTCTGCCCTGAAGTCTCCTACCAGATGGATGCGCCTGGAAGACCTCCAAAAGGAGGCGCCCTGGAGGCATCCTGATGAGATGCCCGAACCAACTCAACTGGCTCTTTTTGATGCAAAGGAGCAGCAGTTCTACTCCAAGTCCCTTCTGGATGTCTGAAACCCGTACCCTATGTCTAAAGCTAAGTCCAGCCACCCCACAAACTCATTTCGCCTGTTTGTTTTCGCAATCTTATTCTTTTGGCCACTACCCACAGCTTGTGAACATAGGTGAGGGCTGGAGAGTAGAGCTGACTGGTAAATTGAGAGCTTTGCCTTTAGGCTCAGCTCCTTTATCACAAGGGTCTGGTACAACGTACAACGTCCGCATTACTGCTGCTGCCACCCCTATCCGCCTGTCAATCTCACACTCAATTTTACCCATCACTCGTTAACAAGTCCCCGAGATACTTGCACTCCTTCACTTGGGGCAGAAACTTGGGAACCTCAGAATATTGTATGTCAAAGTGTACAAATAATTGCCAGGTCCAAATAACAGCCAAAAATATTCCAAGACTCCTAGGTGATATTAATTTGAGTTTACATGTATTACAAATTGGAGGCTTTGTGTCTTTCTTACTCACAGTAAAACCAAACAAAAAAACTTCCCACGACACTGTGTGTGCAGGTGTGACGTGACTGTGCTGCTGTGTATGCAACATGAACCATCATGGGGTAAATCTGACAGGCACAGAATCAGATATCTCAGACTGATCGGCCAGTCACTGGTCACGGCTGAAAATCGGTCAATTCCGATCTCCAGCTGATCGATTGTTGTATCTTCACAGTAAATTTCAGTCTTGAAAGAGTTGAGCTGAGCACAGAGCTGGCTGTCATCGACCGATCATCTCCTGCAGAGTCTAAATGAAATGCCAATGGATCCTGTGGTCACGGTCGCTAACAGTCTATACGAAGAAGCTTTATTTATTGTCATTGTAACACGTACAACAAAATTATGTTTAGAGCTGAGGGCCCCAGGCTGCTGCGTGCATATGCACCGCCATCACAGGCAATAAAGGGGGGTTCAGTGTCTTGCCCAAGGACACTTTGACATGTGGACTGCAGGCAACGAGATTTGAACCTTCCGGGTGGGAGACAGCTGCTCTATCCACCGCACCACTGTCGCCTCCCCAGACAACATGTGAGGTCACAATTCACAGTGAAGTCATGACTTTGTATTTCAGAATGCTTGTGTTGTTGTTACCTCGAAGGTGTGGTCCAGTCTGTAGACTGGTGAGGAGTTCATGGCACTGACAACCTCCAGAACTCCATTAAAGTTGTTGAGTTCCTGAAAAACCTGCAGGATCTCGATGATCCGAGAAACAACTGCCACTCGCTCCTCCAGGTTCTCCGTTTCTACGATACACCTACAGATTGAACACACACACAGACACACTTCAGTGCTGCAGAACTGGCAACTCCACCTCCATTTGATGTCTGCGGAAGGTGACGTTGGAGGTGTAAGTGGAGGTGGAGTAAAGGGGTTGGCGGTCTGACATACTGAATAACATGATGGAGGTTGGTGGTGTAGGTGGAATTTATCCAGGTGTGTGGTTATGATGTAGTTGGATGCAAGGTTGTTGAGAAGGTGATGTTATTTTGTGTATCAGTGAGTTGGGTGTTAGGGTGGAGGGGGTGGGCTGAACAACTGTTACTTGTGTTTTTATTTGCTCTGTTTCCTCTCTCCAGGTGCCATGAGCTGATTGGCCTCCACCTATGAGTGTCCTCATTGGCTGATCTGAATCTGAGGGACCGAATCACCACCCTGAGCGCTCTACACAAACAAACACCCAAAAGCAGCGTGACAATGCTCCTTCTCTGCTCGAGACACTGGTCGATTTATTAAAGCTGCATTAACTCAGATTCCC